CTGCCCCTTCCTACTATATTTTCTCCGTTTTCTTCTCTCCTGAAATCTTCCTCATCACCTCGAGCGGACTATATCGACTATGCCGGGAGTGTGGGCGTGAAAACATAGAAAGCAGTCACTTACACAACCATCTGCTTTCTGCCCAAGAGTGGGTTGCGGATGAACTTGCGAGTCCGCAGGGTAACGGGAGCGTCAGCCATGATGTCGGAGCGTGATGCGAGAAGGCCTCCGATGGACGTTAAACAGAATCTTCAGAGCGAAGAAGATCCGTGCAGCGTTGGTCGATGGGAGGCGTTGTCGATTGCTGCGGTCGAATATTTTGTCGCTGTCGTCGAACTTTTGACGATTTAATTTCGATTTTTTTTTACGTCCTTGCGTTGGTGTGGGCTTTCGGTTAGGGCCAACCGGACGCGGTTAGATTGGCTTAGGTAAGCGTTGCAACCAACCACCGTAACTAAAGCTCCATGAACGACACGAGAATTCGCGACCAGGGACGTTTGGTCGACAACTACTCAGTACGAGACCATGAGATAGACTGGAGTGGAGCAAGGCAGCCTTAGCCATGGAATCGATGTCCCCCGATGAAGCATCAGGCCTCAGATTACTCGCTGCGCAGTATTTCCAGGCAGTCGAAGTGCAGCGCCTGCGTTTTCCACCAGGCAACGTACTGCTAAAGCTACCGGTGCAACAATGGATCAACCGGAATATGTTCTGTGAAGACACGGTATGGCCTTTGCCACCGTTGAACTACCGTACTCGAGTTCTTAAAATGATCTTGTCGACAATTGAGGAGTCTTTCACTGACCCTGAGGAGGATGTACGAAGTCCGCAACCCCCCTTTCTTCCCACCCATATTCCCCTTCATGATACGTCGACAGAATTACATATCTTTCCCGTGAATCCTCGTTATCTTCCTTCAGTTATACATTCTTAACTGTTTGTTGCTTCAGACCCTGACCGGTGAAATTTTTCTTCTCCTTTTCTATTCATAGGAGATCCTAGACGATCTCATGACGAGTTGGGGTATTCTCATTTCTCGCCCTAATCTGTCACCGCTTGAACAAACCCAACAGTTGTCCTACATCAAGTACACACCGCCTGTGGTACTGGATTCCAAACACGACGAGAGCGTTATTACGCTAGAAAATCGAGGGTTGATCCTTGCTGCTGGAACTACTGGTTTTCGGACCTGGGAAGCCGCCTTGCATCTCGGAACATTTCTTTCCACTCAAACTGGCAAAGAGTTTATTAGTGGAAAAAAAGTTCTTGAATTAGGAGCGGGAACAGGCCTTGTATCTATGTACTGCTCAAAGAGCCTTGGCGCTAGCAGAGTAATAGCAACAGATCGGGATCCAGCATTGATTGCGAATATTCAAGAATGCATTTCTTGGAACAAATTAACTTCGAAGAAGATCACTGCTTCCATCTGGGAATGGGGTACTCCACTGGAATGCCCCGATAACGTGCAGGACAATGGACAGTGCGTCAGCGTTGACACCGCATTAGGGGCTGACCTGGTATGCATAGTTGAACCATGCGCTTTTATAAAAAGATTTTTGAATAGATCACTAATATTTATGACGTGGGCATGGCTCCCATTGCTGTCCATATGTTGAACCCTAGCTCTATGACGTGGACTTGATACCACTTTTTTTATCGACCCTGCAGGACTTGTTTGATAACTATTACCTCAAGGAGTTCATCATCTCAGCCACTCTTCGTAACCAGGAAACTCTCAACGCGTTCCTCAGCGCCTGCGGTATGAATTGACCTTTACATTGTTACCTTCGCGTTTATGCGTGGTTGGTTACATCTGCTAACTGTGTTTGTCTCTTGCTTTCAGCGGCATCTAACCTACTAGCCAGCCAGGTCGCCTTTGAGTCGCCCCCAGAGGGGGCCCAGGATGGATTTTTTCATAGTACTAGTATCCCTATCCTAACATACAAAGTAACATCGCTGCGCACGATCAAGTTAGACTAAGATCTACGTGATCTAACTTCTATCGGAATTAGCAGTATGTCCGCTCTTGATGGTGTAACATATCTTCCTCATTTCTAGCTTGCTGCCTTCTGTCACTATTGCCCTACTGGCGTTTTAAGTAAACTCACTTTTATTACAGGTGTTAAATAGCATCAAACTCTTAGAGCAAAGCAGGTCCACTAGCTTTTCCATAAATGCCGTATGCATTTACTTTATATCCTGTCTCTAATGTGCTGCATATTTTCCATCTACTGAGATCCCACCATCTGAGGAAGGGAATATGCTACATACGGTAATTATTTGAAATAGAACCTGTTACTTCCCCTTTGACGTATTATTATCATGTTGTACTCCCATGCACTATGCTATATATCCTGTCTCGTAAGCTCATGAGAATTTTCACCATTTTCATAACCTTCCTAGCCAGGGAAATATCATAATACACAACGGCTTGCTACCCCACACTGGCTTCATGTATCACCGATATGTTGTGGGCTTTAGAGTTATTAATATATGGAACCTGCATATAACTAGCTGGTGCTACATGCGGATGCGTACAATTATTATTAGTTAATGTTTGGCCTTTCAGAGTCTTGTTAGTTGGTTGACAAGATTTTACGCACGTTGCATATTACGTTACAGCGAAGCAATATGTCAGGTCACTGCATAGTTACAACCAACGACGAGTTTAAGCAGATGGTCCATTTGCTATTCAAGGCCTTTGGTGTAATATGGTAGCTTGTGGTAGTATTTTACTCTCAAAAGTCAAATATCTGTTTCTGGCGTTCGAGAATGAACTAGTTAACTAGTTAGGTCAACGAGTTAGTTAACCACTTAGCAGCATCTCTTTCCTCGAACAGTTTAAAGACTTGTTTGTCATACATATCTCCATACCCAAGGGGAAAGGCTCTGGCGAGTTCATGTACCATATTTGGCCATACATATTACGGGAAGGGGTTATCAAATCTAGCCTCCACCTGTTAACTACCACGGAATCTCCACTCCAGCCTGAGTTACAAACTTCCCAGAATATTTAACACGGGTGGCCTCATCAATGATTGCAATAATGCCTTTAACACTTTCTTCCAGAGTGTCAGGGGGCCCACCAGCATAGTTCCATGCTTTCGCCATAAAGTCGCCCATCTTTGTCTGTACCCATCCCGGGTGAAGCGCTACGCTAACAATTCCGCTCTGGGCCATCTGGATATGAATTGACTTTGCAATATAGTTGACTGCAGCTTTGCTCGGGCCATATGCGCCACCAGGGAAAGGCTCCATCTGCCCAATGGATCCGACAGATGAGGAGAGAACGATGAACTTTGACGGTAGCCCTGTTGCGCCATTTCCCTTCTCTAGTAGGTCTCGGACTGCTTGGAGAACCATCAAGGGCCCAATGGTGTTAATCTCAAAGCACTCCCGCAGATGCTCGGCGGCCATTTCAACAGTCGGCATTATAGCAGTGACATGGCCAGCAGCGCATATCACAGTGTTGACGTGGTTTAAATCGCCCGCGGCAATATTGATACGTTCGCGAATGATCTGTGGCGTGAGTCTCATGGAGAAATCAAGTTGAGCAATGCGAAGAACGCTATTCTTTCCCCTGGGAGACTGGTTCATAGCTTCCAGAAGGGCAGAAGCACTAGATTCGTTACGAACGATGCCGATGACAGTGGTGGAGGGACGGGCAATGTATGCTAGCGCGAGACCCAGGCCAATGCCTCTACTGGCACCAGTGATAATATATATGGTGTTAGGAGCCATTGCAGAAAGCAGCAACTTGAACGCTGGTAGAGGTTATTCTAATTTTTTGACTGCCAGACAGGAAAAGTGGGAAATGGATACGGGGGCAGGCTGGTATTTATAGCATTAATCATGTGCCTAGCGGCAGGAGACTGTTGGGCTGATAATACTGTGTGGCTGCCTTCATGGCTGGGGTAATAAGCTCCAATATACGATCGGGCCGTAGGATTCGGTGGTCGTTTACCATCCATGGGTGCTTTCTGCTTTCATACTTGAAGGATTTCCACTATCCACAGAGAGAAACAATCAGAGTTTCATATAGCTATGAGCTGACGGGTTATCACGTGATTAAATTAATCAGCCCTCTTTGGCTTGGTTCAAAGGGCATTAAGATTTTTTTGGTTTAAGGTTAACTAGCAAGTTAGGGAGTCTCTCTTATTTAGTTAATGTTAAGTTAAACCTTAAATTAGTTTAGTTTAGTTTTATTTTTATTTCAAGGTCAAGGAAAGGAATTCCTCCAACCTGCACATAAAATGGTTTCAAGTGTGAGTCCGACGGCCACAATTAATTCCTCCCTATACAGCTTGTTACAATAACCAGTTGGTCTGCAGATTTTGAAACTTGAAACCCCTTAATTTGTAGGAATTAGTTAGCCGACATTCACGCTTGTCTGTCGATTATCTCCAAGACCAGCGGTGCATTAATGAATAGTGGAAGGTTAGTACTCTGCTCGATCTCACAAGTTATTGGAAATACTAGCCTTATACTAACTACCCATGCTTCTAGAATTTCATTATGTCGTACTCCTCAATACTCCAAGGCTTCTGGGTATATATATACCTCTACGAGAACTGGAAAACCTATATGTTAAACAGCTGTGCTTCATAAAATTATGTGGAATACTTATTTGGATATAAGGGCCGTGGGCTATGAATTGTGGTTTTCTCTTTGCTTGGCTGACTATGGTACAGGTGAAGCGGGGTTTTATATACTGTAAGTCCTCTTATTCTCGACAGTGCCACAGATACGACCTAATATTCACAATGAATACAATAGACAGAACTGCATAGCCTGTCACAAGGAAGCAGGCCCCTCACTTACACCCTTATAAAAGAGCTGCCGTTTCCAGTCCTTGATTTTGGAGTACTTATCTCTGCTGCTTTATATTGTGGGTACTGAGGTCGAATATTGCTCCGCCAGTGCATCTGGAGCGTGAACATCAGCCAAATTTTTTAAAGATGCTACTACGATGGCACAGTGTTATACCTCTCTTTCTTACCATGACTGTAGCCTTGCCAAATACATATCGCACTGTTGTTGAAGATCTTCCTGCTATTCCTGAAGGATGGGTTCAGGGGAATCCCCCATCCCCCGAAACCTCCGTTCGCATGAACTTGGCTGTGGGCCAACGGAACACTCGTACATTTGAGCAAATAGTTCTCGACATTTCAACTCCAGGTCATCGAAACTATGGCAAGCACTTGTCCAGGAGGGATCTGAAAGGTCTTCTCCGCCCACGCCGGGAGACTTCGAACTTGATATTATCCTGGCTTGAAGAATCTGGCGTCCCTAAACGGTCAATTGTGGACGATGGAGACTGGATACATTTTGTCATTTCAATCTCCCAAGCTGAAAGGATGCTTCAAACCCGGTTTTATTACTTTCATGACGTACAAGACCCAGGAATCTCCATGATCAGGACTTTAAAATACTCCGTCCCATCTCGTCTGGCGCGCCATGTTTATATGATACAACCGACTACGAAGTTCGGGAAACCAAAGAAACACGCCAACTCGGTCGCTAGCCTACAAGTCATCTATTCGTCTACTAATGCAACCGAAAATTGCAATGCTACGATAACTCCAAGATGTTTACGAGAGCTTTACAAAATGGGAGACTACGTAGCCAAGCCGGACTGCAGAAATGTCATTGGGATCTCAGGCTATCTGGACCAATACGCCCGATATAGCGACTTTTACAAATTCCTTGAGCTCTATGCACCTGAAATGAAAGGTGCTAACTTTTCTGTGGCACACATTGGAAACGGCCAAAATCTACAAAACTCCACCAGAAACAGCATTGAAGCAAGCCTAGACATTGAGTATGCTCTTGGTCTATCGAATGCATCAGCAGTGTTTTATACAACTAGCGGTAGAGGTCCCCTTGTTCCGGATCTTGATCAACCTGAACAAGAACATAATTCAAACGAACCATACCTAGATCAATTGCATTACCTTCTAAGTTTACCTCAGGAAGCACTTCCCGCAGTCCTCTCAACATCCTACGGAGAAAATGAACAGAGCGTACCTGAAAGGTTTTCCCATGCAACTTGCAACCTATTTGCTCAACTAGGTGCCCGCGGGGTCTCGGTTATTTTCAGTAGCGGAGATAGTGGTGTCGGCTCATCTTGCTTAACAAATGGTAAAAAGAAGATTACCCGCTTCAATCCTACTTTCCCAGCCAGCTGTCCATTTGTCACCTCTGTTGGCGCAACTTTTAAAATCAACCCTGAGCGAGCTATTGGGTTCTCATCCGGTGGATTTTCAGATCGCCATTCTCGTCCAGTATACCAAAATGATGCTGTTCAGCATTATCTGGATAAACTTGGAGATCAGTGGAAAGGGCTCTATAATCCTAAAGGGCGTGGAATTCCCGATGTCTCAGCCCAAGGGGCCAATTTTGCGATCTATGACCACGGAAAAGTGATCACGGTCTCTGGAACAAGGTTAGATGTCCATCCTCGGTTCCAGAAATACTTTCGGGTGTAATGTAACTAGTTGTGTTATAAGAATCCAATTTTACTAACCTCTCCAGTGCATCGGCTCCCGCCTTCGCCGCCATTATTGCCAATCTCAATGCCATCCGTTTACGCGCCAACAAGCCAGTCCTGGGCTATTTAAACCCTTTCATATACGGAAAGGGCAGGGAAGGGTTTACAGATATTGTTCACGGAGGATCGAAAGGGTGCGTTGGTTATAGTTCAACTAACGGGAGCACTCCGGCGGTGCCGTATGCAAGCTGGAATGCCACCGAAGGTTGGGACCCGGTAACTGGAGTTGGAACCCCTAATTTTCGAATCTTAGCTAAGATAGTTCAACATATGGAATAACCCGACAGTAATAATATGTAACGATGAGCTTTGTCCTGATTTACTGATGTTTACAACGATAGAATATGCCGAGGGCTTGCGGATTGGTTTTTTGTAAGATCTTACACATTCGGCAATCTTGCATCGAATGATGACTATACGTAGTAGTCGATGGATCACTGGTGATATTGCACTCTCGGGCCATACGCATTTCATACAGAATTGTAAAATCGTTAATCATGTGTCTCTATTTTATCAACGAAAATACTCTAAAAATGATGGAAAGACGACATTTCAACACCTTTAACAAATGAAATACACTTAATCAGCAGGCAGGAGGATAGTCCTAAACGGGTCCTTTCCATGGATCCGCATCTCCCAATTTCTCAACGACCAAGCCTGCGCTGCCTGGATTCTTGAAACCAGCAGCCAGCTGACGCTCATAACTGATCTGACGAAGGCGCTCTGCTTCCTTAGGGGTAAGGCGGAGATATATTTCAACACCAAGTGCGTGAAGCATAAAGGATATCCAGATAGCCGTACCAAAACTGAGGTTGAATGCTGCACCAGCCGAAGCAGGGTTGCTTAGGTTAAGTGAAGCAGGGACTGGAACCATGATGTTTGTAGAGTTTGGTGCGGTACATTGCGGGAAGAGCTTTGCTAGCTTTTCCGAAGCAGTAAGAGCATCTGAAGCACCATTTAAGAAAGTGAACCGGACTTGATCGCATGACCACACGTCGTGGCGTAGATTCGGGAGGGCTCCAAGAATAGACGCAGAGATGATGAGGCAGATTCGGATGGTAATGATACAGCCCATGTAGAACATAGTGCGTAACATCCAGGCACGATGTTGTTCGAGTTGTTTGCAGCGGATGTTGTAGAGTGCGAGGCAGAAGGAAACTGTGCAGGCTATGACAAGTGTAATCACAGCAGACTGGATATCCACGCCACCACCAAAGGAGTGTTCCATAATCATAAGGGCGCCAGCGTGTGAAATCAAAAGCAGAATAAAGATGATGTAGCCATTGATACGGTGGAACAATATCCACTTGTGTCGAATGATCGGAATAAATTGGAAGATGACAAGAATTCCGCATGGTAGCACAGCGGCAAGATGCAGAAGGAGACCAACTTTATCACGACCCATGCGCGTGAAGTACCATTGTCCAGGAACAGAATCACTCTCAAAGACGTCAAAGTTCAGGAATGAGAAACGAGCAAGAGTGAATCCAAGGAGGGCTCCAGCAAATATAAACCAAAGAATAAAATTGTACCCTTTTTTGTACCCTATTGAGTTGTGTACGGTAGAGAAGCCTTGAAGGAAGGACTCTGCAAAAGTCATATTGAACGGTATAGGTAAATGGGAGTTGTGGGCTATAGTATTGGGGTGCTGGAGATCGAGTGCAATTGAAGCTCTTAGAATCTCACTGCTAGAGACTGGGTGGACAACTGCTTTATATCTCTCATCCTTTCTGGACCAACTGGCTTGGCTTAACTCGATCACACTTCAGAATGATAAGGGGAGAGGAAAAAAAATTAATACAAGAAAGGCTGAGCAGATGGCATTGGCGTCGTACCACAAGCAAAACTATGCCAAGAGCCGCTTCGGGTTTGAGGGGACTAGGCGTGAATCCTCCAGATTCATGCTGCTTATTTTTCTTGGTTGGAAAATAAGTATGAGTGGTTGAAGCGTTGAGATGATCAACCTAGCTGCATATAACACGAGCACGGATGGCCGTCGATCACAGAGCGCTGTTTGACGTAAATATGTTTCGGCTCCTTTCACTTTTCACCCTCGCTGTTGTCTGACCTGTAATTAAAGTAGCATTTGTCAGATACTGCTCAAGGAAATTGTTGGCGCTTGCGAGCCAAAAAAGCTGTCAGCGGGCAGCAGTCACCAATTGTAACTGAGTTAAGTGGCCCAAAGTGTTGGCTAGTGGGGACAGATCCCAGTCGGAAATCGCCAACATAGTCATGTTCTGGGTCTCCTTGAACCAACGAACAGCCCGAGAGGCTGGAGGGCATTCATCCACTTTCGCAATGCGTCAATAATCAGCCGCTATGGCAGCGTGGGTGAGGGATGCATGGTACGTCCGAAGCGGCGCTCGGCACGGAGTTTAAATAGGGAATGTGCCCACAGACGTGGTGACAGCTCTTATTATTGCTGTCAAAGAAATAATAGACCGGAGTTACTCTTATTCATACCTGTGCGGAAAGTATAAGTACTTCGTACCCAATGTTGTTATTTTAAGCAGTTGGTCCAAGCCACCAGATGAAATGACTCAGCCTAGCTTCACGTGATTCATATTCGCGGCAAGGATAAATGTCTAGCCGCGAGATGCTTATATAAGCAGATCCCCTTACCTAAGCTCCAGCCCGACGTTGAATCATCACCAACAAAGGCCAACCAACCTGTAGCTGCCGACATCTACCATACTACTTAGCAGCACTTGAGCACTGGGTTTTGCTACCCCGGTTTGCTATTCGTTTGATCTACCAACACTTTCGTCATGGCCGACGAAGAGCTCCGTGCTATGATTCGGGATTTGCACCAGACTCTAGATCAGAAGCATGTGGATAGAACGGCCGCGCTCTTAAGCCGTGCAAAGCGAGCACTTCTTCAGCTAAATGCTCTCATTCCCACCAGTTCGACCCCTCATCCACTCATCTCCCTTGCTCGTGAAATCCTCGAGCTTGGTGCCATTACATCAATACGACAGAAAGATGCCCCTTCCTTTACTCGATATTATCAGCAACTACAGCCGTTTTACGACACTGAAAGGCACCTACAGGCAGCCTTTGCGGAAGATGCTGAGATAAACTTAAAAACAAGCCAACGAAGCAAGATAACCGGGCTTTACCTGCTGTTGCTCTTGAGCATGGGAAACAACACTGAGTTTCATACTGTCCTGGAGGGCCTGGTCGTGGAAGCATCTTTGAAGGGCCATCCCGTGGAGACTGACCCGTACATTAAGTACCCCGTTGAGCTGGAGAGGAGCTTGATGGAAGGTAGCTATGATAAGGTCTGGCGTGAGACTAAGTCTGAAAGGGTTCCATCAGAAGACTTTGGGCTATTCTCATCAGTATTTCCACCCCTTCCATCTTTCGTTACTTTCAGTTTTGGTAACAGACGCTAACTTCCTGTGGATAGATACTTGTTGGTACCATTCGAAGCGAAATTGCAGACTGCTCTGAAAAGGCGTACCCATCGCTTCCCGTGTCTAACGCCAAAAATCTATTGTTCCTCGACTCCGAAGGCGCCGTTGTGGAGTTTGCTAAAGAACGAGGGTGGACTTTGAAAGATGGGCGGGTATACTTCCCTAGTCAACAAGACCAGGAGGAGCAGAATACTCCTCAGAAGACTGGCAAAGAAATCACATTAACAACGGGGTCTGTAATCGAAAATACGATCGGATACGCCAGGGACCTTGAAACTATAGTTTAACAAGTAAAAAAAGAAAGAAAGAAGAAAATTAGATACCATTTTTGATATTACACTTCTCGAGAACTAAGCTGTGAATGCCAGTAATTTTCATTATTTCTCACGGCCACCATTGTATCATGTTTTATCTCTTTCGTTCATTCGGGTTGTTTCCTCATCATTTTGTATCTTGGCTTCCCATATGCAAATTCTTTTATCATAGAAGCTGCTTGACAAACATAGCAGTTTAGATGGCTCGTTGTAATCCTGCCAGACATCTGAAGCATAATTCATGCTCTTATGTTCTGTGAACTGAGCAATGATGTTGATACCCCATGTACTCCCAACCTTTGGGTGCCTCGAATAATGAACTACACGGATTACACGGGCACCGCCGTGCATACAGCTAGCCAGGATAAGATAGCTAGTCAATATTCCCTGCGATCTCTCCACGGTATTGTTCTCAACTCGGAGAAGTTTCAGTCTCCAAACGCCTCCACCGAGATTTAGATCAGTAAGTATTTGTCCGCGAGCTCCAAACTGATAGACTCGAACGTGTTGATCATAGCTTCCCGTGAGAATAATGGCCTCTCCATCTTGGTTGCATAGTGGCAAGATTGCAGTAACCCCACCTTCATGATAACGTCCCCGATCGTTCATCGGAACAGTGTCGATGTCCAAATCTGGGTCGTTCGTAAAGGTAATTTTCCGAACTTGATTGAAATCATCCCCACTGAAAAGAGAAAGTTGACCATTGTATTGCCTTTGGAATGCTAAATACCATACTTCAATTGGCATACCTTCCACACGAGTTTCTTTTATCGACTCTTGTTCAATCGTAGGGTATGCATCATGCTTCTGGAAAACAGAGATCTGTCCATCAGAAAATGAGACGGCAAAACCAACAATAGGAGCTACACTATCGTCCGCTTCCACAGGAAAGGGCGGAATCCAAGCCAGGAATAAATTGAGCTTCGTGTCATCATCGCGGACTCTGAGGGTATTCAGAAGACATAGAGATACTTCCAGTCCTGCGCTTTGCGGGTGTTTCTCAATTTTATATAAAGACACTTTCCCTGCACTCAATGCAACAGCAAAGAGGGAAGGGTCGTGTATAGAAAACTGAAGGTCAAATACGGCATGGGAGAGCGACAGCCGTTGAATCTGGCAGCTGGACGCTGTGAGTGACTTATATCCATTTATACGAAATTACTAGGAGCTCAGTGAAAGGAAGGTGACACTGCTAGGGGATAAACTTACAGGCGATAAGTCTGGGTATCTAGTTTGAATAACTGAAGGCTGCCTGAGCGGGACGACTCAGGTGACGATGCATTGGCATCAGATTCATCGACTGTCAAGAGATATGTTCCAATTACCAGGAAATTAGGGGCCGTGGGACAAAACTGGAGACAACTGGGAGGCTGGTCGAGAAATATGGTAGAGATGCTGCTGGAATTTGTGGTGGTGGACATTATCGGGAAGAGGTATGAACGTGATATGTTAATATTTCTCGTTACTTTGTCGGCAAAAATTAGTACGGAAAACGGAGGTCACCTGTTATATATGAGGGTACTTAACTAACTTGTTAGTTTTATTATTATTATCCAACTAGTTAATTAACTGTCGTGCGACTAAATGAACCAATGGTGAGTTAGTTGACAATTGATTTTGGTAACCAGTTAATAAGTTAGCCGCCGAAATGGAAACATATCGTGTACGTAAGTAATCAAAACTGCTATCTAGACATCAAATAGCTGAACCTACGCCCAGTAATGGAGTGATCGGGAAGTGATGCAGTGACCTGCCTTGCCATCACCCAAAATGATGAATTTATTGTCCATGACATATATTATCGTAAAAGAAAGATTCGCAGTATTGAATTCCGCTCCGGAGATATATGGTCGCAAGCTCCCCGATAGTATGTTCAATACTACTATTCCGACATTGAAATATGGGGTTAAGCTGCTGAATACCAGTTCTCGTCGCAGCATATAAAGACGGTGAGATAGATACGAGAGTGCGAGATACTGATGTATCCTACTTTTCAATTTCTTCGTTTTAGCAGAAACAAAAGCACCCTAGTCTTTTATACAGACGAAGTCATCAGTATAAACTGGGCAGAAGTGATACCTCATGCTTCTGGCAGTTCCTTCTTGACAATGAGTAGTTCACACTCAGCTCGAAGCTCTTTAACCCCCTTAACTTCACCCCATTTTGAAAGCAGGGACTGTATCTCGCTCCAATCTTGCTCAGCGTCATCTCTTTTTCCGGAGTCCAATAATCGTTTCAACCGTCTTGGGGAGTCCAATGCCCATAACACGGTTGCCTTTTCGGGCTTGACTGCTGTTTCATTCTGTGTCGCGCTTGCTTGTGCTGGTTTATTGGTAGATGGTCTTAGCTCTTGCTGCTCTCGAATAAGTGACATTGCTGTCTCTGCAATAAATCCAACTGCAGGAGCTAGTGTTTTTGTCATTAAAACAGGAGTTCCTTCCTCCTCTAGTATTGACCTCATTTTCCCGATAGTTTCAACAGCTTTTATAAGCTTCGAGTAATTGTCATAGACTAAGGCCTTTCGTTCTCCATCCAGAGTCTTGATGTCACTCACAAGGGAGTTTTCAGCCCGTAATATAGTAGCCAAGGATGAAGTAGCGAGTAAATGGGACACATAGTCATCTGGATCGAAATTTGGGCTGTCAAGCTCACTGTTCGAGATTTGGTTTATGGGACGTGCGCCATCTGGTGTAGGTGGAACACTCCTTGCCCTTGATTGATTTGAGGGTTCAGTTCTGCCTGGGTGCAGGTTATAATAGTCTCGTAAGGCAGCCCTGTTACGTCGTAGAGCATTACTTGGAAGGTCTGTTCTGGGAGCGAAGTTGGCGCTTTCGACCGAAGGGCGGCGAGATGATGCTGGTGTCGGGGATCGAGCGGACGCTATTGACGGGCGAGGAGAGGATACTGTTGACATTATAGAACTAGGAAGCGTTATAAAGTTATTCTTTTGGAGTGCATCATCCAAAATATAATAATACTGTTTGTGCTCCGGGAGTATGACGCTGGGGGTTATGTAGGAATGTAGGTCAGTAGCCATCAAGGCGAAAGTGGTTTGTTAGTAAGTAGTTCAGAGTTGTGGTCCGTGCGTAGTTGGTAATTATGTACTTAGTTGGCTAACTGACTTAGGTAAGCAGATTACCTAACCTGCAACGGTTTTGTTTGACTTCGCGCGTACGGAGGACATCCAGCTCCGTTGTTTTGCATCGCATCAGTCATAGTTATATTAATAGGAGAAGATGGCACCAGAGCCACATGCCTACATAAAGAAACACCTATTGAGTACGAGGTCCCTTCCAGTTTCTGAAGTATGGCTCTCAGAGCTGCTTTCTACCCAGCGACCTGGAATCACGCCTCTCCCAGCTCTAACTCAAACAGCGTTGTTCCGACTACTTGCCTCCGACTTTACGAGATCACTTGAGATACCAGTATCGAACGCGAGGCACGTACTGCCTACAGATATCTCTAACGCCAGCATCAAAGAAAGGCGTATATCTGGCCCTGTTCCTGTCCAAATTCTTGACATAGAAGACATAGGAAGCAGTGTATGGAGCCAGGTGGAAGCCATTGAGAGGATTGAGAGAGGTGAATCAATTAGGGGTAGAGAAGTTATTAGAACGGTGCCACAGGCCGTCCAGGCTGAAGAAGGAAACAGCCCCATCAACACTACAGGCGAAAGCGCAAGGCAATTGGCTCCCTCTGCTAGTTCTGGGCAGGATTCAAAATTAGGGGGGCCGCATCGCCTCATACTTCAGGACTGCAGAGGCACTAAGGTGGTAGCCATAGAGTTGAAGCCTCTACGTGCAATAAAGTTAGGGGAAACGGCAATTGGAACGAAGCTACTGATCACTAATGCTATTGTCGCTCGTGGAACGGCCCTGTTGGACCCAGAGTGTGTCACCGTCCTTGGAGGTAAAATTGAAGGGTTAGACCGTCAATGGAAAACTGGCCGGAAAGCTAGACTTCTATCAGCATTGAACCCCCCTGAAACTATCAGTTGAATAATTTAGTTAGCCCTGGGAATGGTCGTGACATTCTGAATATTAATTACTCATAAAGGCAAAATCCACCGGGTCATACGGACCAGCTTCAGGAACAACATTGGATCAACTCGTCCCAGCCATTTTTAGACCAAGGCGCCACCATAACCCCGCTTAATGCGCTTTTCCTTGTTCCTACCAGTGAATATGCCTGGCAAAGAGCCTCGGCGTCGAGCTTTCCACGAGGCGGAATGCTGACAAGTGCTGTTCGAACAGCCATTTCGGCAGCGTACCTTTCAGTAGACACTGAAGAAAGGGCCATCCAGCCTTGTGGCTGGCTTGGTGATATCATTACCGACGTCGTGGCTTGCTTCAGCATTTCAGAGGTGCGCGTTGCCTCTGCTTCTGCCTCATATCTTAGAGCTGGGATGCTTGCGAGCAATTTCACAATTTTTCCGATGCTATGAGTATCTAGATCAGTCCTTGCCCTCATGGCTTGGAGATCCGACTCTACAGCCTCAATGGTGTCCTCATCCGTATCTAGAAGGCCAATGACTCCTAGCAGAGTGATAGCTCCCACGTGTTCTGGGTATTTTTCAACACACTCGAAAAGTTGTTCTCGAGCAACTAGCCTCTCCTCGTCTCCGCCCTTTGCCCACAGTACCTGCGCAAGCAGGCATGTAACATCTGGTGAATTATTAGCCCCTTGAATCGCATCACGGAACATCTCAATAGATTCATCCATTCGACCAAGATAGTAGAATGCCAGGCCAGCTGTTAAATGGGCTGATAGTCTAATCACTTGATATAGTCCACCATGGCATTCATGTATCCCTTCTTCTACCATCAAATTTAGTGCTGTTTCTGCACTGTCTGCAGCTTCTTTATATTCAAGGCGCCCCAGCTGTATTCGCGCCAAGTCAGCAGACGCTTGGGCATACTTTAGCAGCGAACCGATGGACTCTGTTGACTCATATGCCGCCTCCACCCCTGAACACACCGTCTCTAAGTCTGAAATGCAGTCTTCAAGGTCTCCGGTCCGTTCCGCAAAAAGTGATGAGAGATGGTAATGGAATAGTTCAGAAGGGTCCACGGAGCGCAGCTGACGTAGGCCAAATAAGGGTTGGAGTAGTTGAGCTGGTGTAGGTTCGGGACTACTACTGATGTCATCAAACATAGATATGGCATATTGCTGCTTTGCAAAAGCTCCACTCGAATTCCCAAGCCCAAACGCATGTGTAAATAGTTCCCTTGCCTCGACAGCATCTCCAATAAGCATGGCCAATAATCCCTGGCCTAGCCAGGCATTTGAGTGGTCTGGGTCAGCAGATTGCGAGCGAGTGAACGCTTCATTTGCTAATTGATAATCATCATTTAGGAGATAAAATGCTCCAAGATTAGCCCATACGAATGCATTCCGCTCGTTGAGGTGAAGACTACGAACGAACGCATGCTGGGCTACCTTTGGACTTTGTGACGCAGTAGCAATACCCAGTGCATTCCAAAAATCAGCATTGCCAGCTTCAAGTTCGATTGCCTTTTTAAAACACCGAGTTGCAGCTTTGATGAACCCTGTCCGCTTATTACTTCTTGGGCCTTTCAAAAACGATGATCGTTGCATGTGAGCTCTATACTCAGCCCAACCTAGATTATACCAGGCTAATGCCTGGGCGTGGGTATCTTTTGCGGTAGCAGATAGCGCATACTTGAAGGCTAGAATAGTTGAATATATGGAAATGACCTGGGCCGTTTCGTTACTACCCAGCAAACTTTCAAACAACGTGTCAAAGTTCTCCCCAATTCCGTCAAGGTTGGAAAGAATGTTGAAAGCGGTAACGTCGCAAGTCGTTTTGAGTACTGCCCTAAAAGGTGCGATTGGTAAATATGACGACTTGTTGCTTATCCAGGAAAATATAGAGAAAGCATCACCAATTGACTTCCATAAGTTGAATCCGTTAGGGTGGTAATTTGTAATAGATAAGCCGGTCTCGATTGCTCGCTTCGCTGTCTCAGTGGCTTCCCCAAAAAAACCGGACTCAGCTGCCTTCCATGCACTCTCAGTAAGAGTTTGCAGCAATGCAACAGATACCCCAAACTCCTCAATTCTCAGATGTGTGACATCTTCATACATCATTATTGCCTGCGCGTAATTCCCGAGCTCTCTTTCTAAATTCGCCATCATATACTTAGAGTACCATATTTGTCCTCGTTCAGACTCCGGCAAAGTGCATTCCAATGATTGCGCATTCCTGAATGCTCTGGTAGCCGCAATGTATCGCCCTGAGTTATAATAGCTTTCACCCAAGCCCACCCAGCACTGGTAATCATTGGGCGATATTCTTAGTGCCGTTTGAAAATGGACAATACTCTTTGCGTAGAGTTGTCTGTTTATTTCAACAACACCTAAGACAGCGAAAGGCCAGCTATAGCCAGGCCTCTTGGATCCTGGAGAAGGCTTTGCTTTGCCTGAATCCACAACTCTTTGAGCAATGGCCTCAACCAGATCCCAGTCACCTTGAGCAGCGAATTCTCGTGCTAAGCGCTCAGCTGCCATTACCTCAGAAGATGAGAGTTCCACGGCCTTATGAAAGCATCTCTGGGATCTCTTCTTATCCTTCTTGTAATCGGCATAATACACCCCGAGGCTAGAATAGGCTGGTGCATAGTTCATATCCGCCTGAATGGCGGCCAGAAACTTGGAGTAAGCGCCATTGCGGGTTTTTCTTGCTGAAGGGGATGGATCCAGCTCCCACTCACAAAAACCGATGCGGTATAAAACTTCAGCCCTTAAGTTATGCCAGCGTGAACCCGGGCATTGAACAAGGGGCAAGGTTTCCTCGAACCCTTTCAAGGCAGCCGCCAGTTCCCCGTTTTGCACCTTGCACCAGAATAACTCGCTGCGGACCTTGGCATTATTTTCATCTCTGATCAATGCTTGAGCTAGTAAATCCATAGCGGCAGCAAAGTCGTGGCTCTCCTCCAGGATCAGCCCTAGCCCAAGAAGGCAGTTATCTTCTTGGGGCTTCCTTGAAAGTATATCTTGAAATATGGCTTTAGCTTCCGGGTGATGTCTTGGGGACTGATGTGGGATTAGGGCAGTAGCAAGCAAGATATTCAATGAATCATCAATGTTCTGGAGTTTAAGTCCGGTGTCATGTCTTATTGTAGAGTTGATGGCCAAGCCACTCCGAGAGACCTTGATAACCGTCTGGAATTCCCCAAGATGAGAATATACTGCCCCCATGATTCGATGAGCCAAGACCGAGTCAGAAGCTTGGTCTAAGCCCTCTGCCATTATTAACAGATGATCTGCTACCATATATTGGGCCTCTATTTCAGGGTTCTCGGTCGTGTTCGTTCCATCAACATCATTGTATAGGTTTTGATAAGGAAATGGGGAAAGGTTAGTATAGAGAAAGCCGTTGAGAATCTTACTAAGGCCATGGTCGGGAAACAAGCGGATGAAATCCCTAAGCAGGGTAACATCTAGACTAGAGAGTTCTTCGGTGTCGGTCCAGTCGAATGTAATTCTCCAAGCCAGCTCGAACGGGTGTTTGATAATTACCATATCGCGCGCCGCCTTCACAACCAATTCTCTGCCTGTGGGTTTCTCCTTGGAAGGAAGAATGCGGAGGTGGTCATAATGTCTCTGAAGCAGCTTTTCTTCATAGTAACGGCGTGTCTCGTCATCATGTGTCCAATCAATAATCCCTTGGTATAGCTCGTTGAGTACACTGCGGTTGAAAGCTTCACGTTTTACTTCAGTAGTAACCTGATCAATCCTTGCGCCTAGCCTAGTCCTACGCTCACCTATCTCACGATTGATGAACTCTTTCTCTTCCTGCTCGGCGAGCTCAGCTACACGCAGATATGTCTCTGAAGGTCTAGGGGCCAACCCCTCTACACACTTGTAGATCGGGCTAGTGGGTAGCCGTAGTTGAAGGGCATGGATATACTGAAGCTTCGACCCATGCAATTTCACAAAGTTGATATATTTTTCCAGCACTCCATGAGCTCGGCCATACTCCTCACTAGCAAAAGGGTTAGTCATTTCATCATTATACTTCAAGAGGCATAGCAGGTATGCATACGTATCCGCAAAGATATTGCAGAGGCGCTCTACAGCTGTCTCATATGCCTCCAACCTTTTCCGGCCCTGTGACTCGTAGAGTGCCACCAGGCCCTGCCAGGCAGTCTTATCGCTATCTTTTATCTTGATAGCCGACTCATACGCTTTTTCAGATGCATCGTACTCGTTAAGCTTCTCTCTGGCTAGGCCTAAGAAGATGTGCCTTATAAGGTTGCGTTTGAATCAGCAGTTGCATTAAGTAGCGACAGGGGAACGAACTACCGCAGCAACATACGCGTGATAGTTTTTGGGATCTTGAGTGCAAAGCTCAGATGCCTTTACAGCTGCCTGGGAGTAGTCTCCTGCATCTAGATCCGCCCTGATTGCCTTCAAGGCGCTCTTAGGAGCCATGATTCGTGGGCTGGCTTGCCTTTTCTCACCCTTTGGAGAAGTAATTCTCTAGTTATAGGTATGTTAGTTGACTAGTTAGTTAGTTAGCCCTCTGAATATCAGGTCCCACCTAGTCCTCCAGCTTGGTGGTCTTGGGTCCTAGTGCATGGTCCCCATGAATACAAAAAGTATGGCAAAAGCGTTTGAAGCTGAGATGTTAGTTCATCTCGAGTTGTCCTCTCAGTTAAAGTAAGGAAGTATTGGAAGTTGAGGTTGATGCTTTGTCATGTGGATTGCACGTGGCACCTCTAAAACATGCCCAAGACCGCTTAGTCACTGCGTCATCGGTGGAGCCCCAAAGCAGTAAGTGTCCACGAGCTGGGCTGCGCGAAGGTCACTCGGCACTTCCGGTGCAACCGCCAGTTTCTCCCTGCCCAGGAGAGACTGTTTCCCGTCCTCTTCATCTCCTCCCCTGCCTACGCAGTATATACACGGCGGTGAGATGTGGTGCATGATATAGGATATTCTCTGTTAGTTAATAGTTAGTTACACCTTTTGTTCTGTTTTTCTCTTTCGTTTCGTTTCCTAAACTACTTTGCTCCCGCAGCTGGTCATCGAGTTGAGCTCGTCCGGCTGCCTGCTCAACCAAACGCCCTTACCTGCCAGCCTCGCTGTGTGAACAGGACGACCGATGGCCCCTCTCAGACTCCGAGTCGAAGGGAATGTTTTCCGTGACCCTCACAACCGAGAAGTCATCCTAAGAGGAATTAATCTCGATGCAACAGCGAAATATCCCAGAATTCCCGATGTTCCGTCACACGAGGTCAACGGGTTCTTCGACGCGGACGATGTCTCCTTTGTAAATAGACCGTTTACTCTTGAAGACTCGCACACACATTTCTCTAGGCTAAAGAAATGGGGGTACAATCACATCCGGTATGTGTTTACGTGGGAGGCAATCGAGCACACTGGACCCGGCCAGTATGACGAGGAGTGGATTACATTCACCATCGAACTACTAAGGATTGCAGGATTGTATGGTTTCTATGTATATATGGATCCACATCAGGATGTGGTAAGTAACAGATTCCATGCTTTGAATACAGCTCCTGTCCGTGTATGATCTTCCGGCTAACTGTCATTTACTAGTGGTCTCGTTTCTCAGGTGGTTCTGGAGCACCGTTATGGACACTGTACGCTGCCGGGCTCGATCCACGGAATTTCCATGATACGCAAGCTGCCTTAGTCCAAAATACGTATCCGGATCCTGCTGCGTTCCCAAAGATGATCTGGAGTACCAATTATACTAGACTTGTCTGCCAAACGATGTTTACGCTGTTCTGGGCTGGGAAGGACTTTGCCCCAAAGGCAATAATTAACGGGATGAATATCCAGGACTATCTTCAAACCCATTTTATTGCTGCCTGCAAGCATCTGGCGGTCAGAATTCACGAGGCGGGGGACTTGGAAGATGACGTGGTGATTGGATGGGAGAATGTTAATGAGCCTCATAGGGGTATGATCGGAATACCGGATATTTCTGTCATTCCAGCCGATCAACAATTGCAACTTGGGACGTCTCCCACCGCATTTCAAGGAATGATGATAGGCTCAGGATTTCCTTGTGAAGTGACTCAATGGGAGTTTGGTACATTCGGACCGCATCAAACAGGCAGGACGTTAGTTGATCCAGAAGGCAAATCAGTCTGGTCGAAGGTCGACCGTGCCGATCAGTATGGATGGAAAAGAGATCCGCAGTGGAAGCTCGGGGAATGTATCTGGGCGCAACATGGAGTTTGGGACCCTGCTACGCTTACTCTTTTACGGAGTAATTACTTTGGTACCCACCCCAGAACTGGACAGGCCCTCGATTATGAAGGTTTCATCAATACATACTTTCTAGAGCATTATCGAAAGTATCGTGATGCTCTACGAAGTGTTCATAAAGATACCATTATGTTCTGTCAGCCACCGGTCCTAGAAATCCCACCCACCATCAAGGGAACCGTGGATGACGACCCCAATATGGTCCATGCTGTCCATTTCTATGATGGGCTTACCCTGATGTCAAAACACTGGTGAGCTAATGTCATGTAAAACAGGCCCAAAGTTTTCCATTAACTCTTCTATAGGAACAGATATTATAACGTTGACGTAGTGGGTATACTACGTGGAAAATACTGGATTCCGGCCTTTGGGCTTAAAATTGGTGAAACTGCTATTCGAAATTCTTTTCGCGACCAACTGCATTACCTCCGCGAAGAAAGCTATAAAAACATGGGCAATCATCCGCTTTTGCTGACCGAAACAGGCATCCCTTATGACATGGATGACAAGTATGCGTACAAGACCGGGGATTATTCTAGTCAAATAAGTGCCATGGATGCAAATCATTTTGGTATCGAGGGCTGTGGAGGAAATGGGTACAGTCTCTGGACTTATGCTAGTGAGGTATGAGAGGTTTCATATATAATCTCGATCTAAAGAACTAGGCATTAACTGTTTCTGGGAAATAAAATAGAATTCACACAAGTGGGGAGACAACTGGAACGGCGAGGATCTTTCAATCTACTCCCCGGACGATTTGGAACTGCCAATCGCGAAATCCCTAGAATCCGGTATGACTTTGTTGGACCCTTCCTCTCCATCATTTTCACAGAGCAGAGCCGACTCACAAGCTATTCGGGTTGAACCGAGTAATTTGAAAGCAGCTCTTCCTGCTGCCTCGATTACCACAAAGCCCCAGCTAAAAGAAAGTGGAGAACACCGGGGATTTCGTGCTGTTGAAGCCTTTGTACGCCCTGGCCCAGAAGCTGTTCATGGTCGTATAACGAAACATGGCTTCGATCTTCAGAACTGCACCTTTACGCTATCCTTGACTGCCGACTCGCCTACCGCCTCCGGTGCACCGACTCTCATCTTCCTCCCGGAATTGCACTTTCCAAAGGACAGGTCGACTGTCAATGTAAGTGGAGGGAAATGGGAGATTTTCTCTCTGGAGTTCCAGCACGGAAGCATTCAATTCTTGAATTGGTGGCACGCCGCAGGAGACCAGACCATACAAATCCACGGTGTCAAACGCGAGCTCTCCGCCATCGTCAGTCCACATGACGACGAGGGATACATTGAGCAGTGCAAGCAACATTCATGCATTGTAATGTAAAATCGTTTAGATCAGAGCTTGGTTGATATCTTCCAGAGTTTGTTTCGGTTTTCCCCCTTTCCACCTGGTACTTTCCCCTTGCTATCCTTTTCCCTTTTTACCTTTCACATTCCGATATCTTTCCTTCCATCATGTGTCCTGTATATTTGTCTTCTACACTGTTTCTAGCGTGAGTGTGATAGGTACATACGAATACATACTTGATGAACCACACGCAAGATACAGCAGGCTCTATGGTACGAACTTTCTTGTTATGGTATACTAAGGTACTCCGTAGCAAATGCCGTCTCTCCAACACGTCTCTTCACTGTTTCTTCTAGGTAAAATCATATTTTTGGTGCGGATTATAATGTGCGTATTTATTATTCTCCCCCATGACTTTTGCGCCAAATAAATTCAATCATAGTAATGGATCTGGCTTAGTTAAATAAACACTTTTGACGTCTTACTAACCAAGGAGGATTCGGTTTGTAACTAAGTTACTAGTTATGTAACAGTCTAATCTCACTAATATTATATTGTAAACAAACAGCCAACGGGCTCCGATATAAAAATATTAGCCAGTAGGTAACTATAATCCTTCACAAAACCTCACTTCTTCCATTGTTATCTTCTTTTCATCGTTAACTCATCTGAACATTGGAACAAGCCCTGCGACTGCCGACTCAAACCTCGAAATTTGGCATTGAAAAACTCTTCACTACTCCGTACGGCCCCCAGGCACCCACACCAACCAGGGAATAACTAACTAGTTGATTATAGTTGATTAACTAACTAAAGAAAGGAATAATAACTAGAAAAAAAAAAAAAGAAAGAAAGAAAGCAAGAAAAGAGAGAGGAAAAAAAAAAAAAAAAAGACGAAAGAGAGAGAGAGAGAGAAAACTGGGGAAAGAGGGTAAAGAGAGGAACAAACATCCCGACCAAACTTCGGCCGCGTTCCCCAGAAGATCAAACAAAAAAGATACCTCTGTATAGTCATCTGGATAACAAGTCTACTGGTGACGGAAACCGAAGCAGCGGGCGGTGGTGGAATGGCTGACTCTATCCAGCCCAGCGACGGGAACGAGAACACGGCCCCTCAGCTAGCAAATATCATCCAGGCTCTTGATGTTATACATTCCCCCGCCTCCTCGAATGAAGTCAGGAAGCAAGCCTCAGAGTTTCTCGAGCAGCAGAAGCATGAAAAGGCCGCTCTGCAAAATGGCTACTTTTTGGCTGCGGAAAAGAGCCATTCCCCTGTAGTCCAGCACCTCGGACTTTCATTCCTGGAGCATGTTTTGCGGTACAAATTCCTGGAGCTGTCTCCAGACGAGGTGAACCATACCAGGGGTCTTGTCATGAGTCTGGCTGAAGGTTTGCGGTGCCAGGATCCTTCTTACATCCGCAACAAAGTGGCTTCGTTATGGGTTGAACTTGCAAAGCGTACCTGGGGTCTGGAGTGGCCGCAGATGGATGAATCTTTGATGCATCTATGGAATGCGACATTTACCCATAAAGAACTTGTGCTGACTGTACTGGAGACTCTATCAGAGGACACAATCCATCAGGAAGACACAGCGTCATCCCTTAGAGGAACTGATTTAAACAGAGCTCTAGTGGAAATTTGCACACCCTATGACGTTTTCAAAGTGGCGTACCCAAAAAGGGACCATCATACTGAAATCCGCAGTGGGAGCGAGGGCTGGCTCTTCAGGGTCTCATATTTCTTAAGTGACTGTGTACGGAATTTCCATGCATCGACGGAAGCCAAAACTTGTGCATTAAAGTCATTGAGTTGTCTGCGTTCGCTTGTTGCCTGGGTTATACCAATGGCCATCGATTCATCTCAGTGCGTCATAGCCATTTGTAATGCACTCGAAGTTGAGGATGATGCAGTTCTTCTGGTAAGCTAGACAGCTGTTCCTAGTTTGAAATAATCAATACTAATCAGTGAGACACAGGCGGCGGTCGAGGCGTTACACTCGTTATATGGAAGATCAACTTATAATATTGAGGAGTTCCAAAGGCTTGTGAACATAATATATCAAAATGATCATCTTAACCTCCTGAGGAAATTATATGAATGGTCGATTGTCGGCGCAGATAACATTATTGAGTCGAAATACTCTATATCCAAAAAGCTATCCGAGGTTTGCCTGCCGTCGAATCCGAGCAGATGTCTAATTATGTCCGGCTAACTGATTGTCGCAGTTGGTCTCCTATATCGCCGGTTTTCTCGAAGAGAAATCGACAGATTTCACGAAATCAGTTGACCTTCCTATCTTTTTCTCCTTTCTCATTAGTATACTCCAGAATCCAAGTCTTGTTGTGTCCATACCAGTACTTCATTCATGGTCCAGACTACTTGCCTCAAGCCATATAGGTGGATTGAATATTGTCAACAACCTAATAGGGCAGCTACTGCAGATCTGTTCTCAGCGGCTCGTACGATACGAGGCACTTCCAGAGGATTCAGATGACCCAACCATGGTATTTCTTAGCGAGGATATTGATACTATACCCGAACGCCATGCCTTTGTTGGAAATTACCGGCGGTACTGCAGTCAAGTCATTGAAGTTATCGTTCAAAAACACACACTTGAGGCAATTCCTCATATCCTCGCTGGGGTCAATAGCGCCCTGGATAACGTATATGCAGGGAATGCTCCATTCAACGGTAAGGAATCTAGTACTTTATAGTTCCTCTTTTTGAATAACTAACTGAATTTAAATAGTGGCTACCTTTCAGAAGCAATCAATACCTGCCCTCCGTGCTGATATCCAATTTACGGTAGTTGAGGCAATGTTGAAGGGTTACCTCAAATGGAAAGGATCATTGGGCTCAAACCCTCAACTAGATGTAAGTAATGGTTTGTTTTGGTTCCAATTGGAATTGAATCCATAACCGGTGCTGATACCAGGGAAAAATAGGAACAACAGCGTCTAGACTTAGAGAGCACACTTGAAAACTGGGCCATGGATCTGATGAACCGTAATTTTGAGGTATAATTTTAATATCACTCTATCGAGGCTGGAATATTTGGTATTAACATCAAGCAGGACCCATGCATAAAACAACGAGTGCTACGATTATGCGTTGACATTTCAGCAAAGGCTCTGGTAGATCGACCAAGTTACGCGCTGAAAATCCTCGAGCATATATTGATGGTCCAGATACCCGATCACCCAGAATATTCTGCGTATTCGGAGTCAGTGAGAGAACTCTATAATATGGCCACCTACGAGATTCGGAGGCTTGCGATTAGATACGCTGACTACTTTGCCGTAAGTAGTTTGCTTCTTACCTTGACGAAATGTACTTACCTCCGCCTTAGAATTACTACGAGCCGCTAGAACAAAAAGCACAGGAAATTGGGAAAAGGCCGAATGACGAGGGACGTCCTCATATGGAGCTATCTGCGATCCTCTTGATTATCATGTGGGTTTTATATATCCTTGAAATTGTTTACAGCATATCTAACTGCATTGCAGGCAGCGTGCTCGGAGCGTGGATCCGTATATCAGACAAGCCCGATTGAACTCTTTTGTTGAACCAATCAAACAGGCGTGGACTAATCAAGAACTAAAGCTGGTACTGGGTTCATTCAAGGGGTTTTATGATGTCCTTGGTTTGGATAAAGTACACCCTTACCTTCAGAAACGTGAAGCCCAGAAGATAGAGGATTGGACTGCCGTTCCACTCGACGCCGAAGGCATACATATCCAGGAAGATTTAAGTAAAAAATTCCAGGTATTTATAAGAATTCAGATATTGATAATAATATACTGACAACTGTGACTGTCCAGGAGTTACCCCTGCGCCCTACTCGCACACTACTCGCTGTATCAACGGAGAAGGTGAAAAAAGATGAGCCAGCATACCAGATTGCCCTTGACCTATGGAAAGATACTATTCCCCTAATCTTGCCGACTATTCTCCAGCTTATTAGGTATGATAATTACTCTCTGTGAACCATTATACATATTCTAACTATACCAGTCATGCGCATGCTTTTCATAATCCTGATAATTGGGAAGGTCTTCCCGAGGACATGCGCCCCGTCGTTGGTCGAATTTTGACAGATAGATTCTGGCAAGCCGGTATTTCAAGTGGAAGCAGGCAGGAATTCTACTCTAAAATAGCTGGGTCAAAAACTACGCTAGAAGGGCTTTCATCATCTGTTCGCGGAAAAGTGAGAGCCGTCAGAGAAGCATGCTATTCGGTTCTTTTCAGCATGAGCCGGCTAGAAAATTATTTCTACGGGTTTCCCGAACTTCCTGTTCCCCTTTCGCAGGCGCTATACAAAGATGCTTTCTCCCTGTCTTCACACCAATTTTCGGTCCTCTTAAATATCTCACGGTGTCTAATAGATGATTGCCCGTCGAATGCCCGCGCTGATTTCTTACCCCCGATGATGTCCGCGTTATTTTCACAGCTTGACAAGAAAGTTACTAGCGAGTGGGATATAATCCAGCGCCGAAGGATAGGTATCGTTGATGATGACCTTACGGAGGAAATGAAAGACGAAAGTATCCTCAGACAATTGACATACTCTGCTGTCATCATGGTGGCTAGCTTCCTGGATCCCGAGCGAGAAGGTTGGTCATTCCTAGTACTGGCCATTAATATATACTAGCTGCTAACATAGCCTTAAGGGACTCAAGACCCTTCAAAAACAGGAGAGCTCAAGGCTACCGATGGAGGGCAGCCTGAAACAATGCGAAGTTTCATTATATCATCCACCGAGATCCTTGAGCCGGTTCTTTTATTCTGCACACATGCCTTGCAAATGCATGACACACGTTGCTGCGTTATTATAACCCGCGTTATTCGATCCATGCTAACGGAATTCGTTCCTGCGACCGACACTCCAACAGCTGCTACCATTCGGGAATTCATCAGTACTGAAGTTTTGAAAGCGTGTATAAACTCTGTTCATGACCCATATTTTGTGGACATGCAAAAGGATCTAGCACAGCTCATATCTTCTATATGGATTTTATATGGCCCAACAACAAACACTCCTAGATCTATCATTCTGAGCTTGCCAGGAATGCTAGAACAGAAGGTGAAAGCAGCGGAGGTCGCACTTCACGGTTCAGCCTCAAGCAGACAGCAGAAAGCCATCATCCTGGATCTGCTGGAGGGTGTTCGAGGAGTGAGGATCAGTGAGCAAGGACGCATTTTGGGTACGGCCGTCAATCGTCGGAAGGAACGCAGCTCAATGCAGGCGAGATATATGTCTACAGAAATGGAGGGAGAAGAAGCCAAGAAAGTTGACATAAATGACGGGGCTGACCTAACGTTTGTAGCCGATATGTTCAATCAGGCTTAATTGTTGCGAGGCCCAGCGAGCTTGTTTAAGTCAGCCGGTTAAAGCTGCTGTGAAGGATGGGGGTATTTCACCTAAGGCCATTATTATATACTACTAGTCTCTTACTGAATTGAATCCGAGCACGTTAGTTTGTATTTATCTTTGCATGTTTTCGTTTTCATCCTACAACACCTCCAAAGATCCCTTCTTTGTCTAATGCCTTGGACAAACAATCATTCATCCATAGAAGGCCGTGATGCCTTACCGCAATTCAGAAGGTTTAAACTTTGGGAGATCTGTAGAGAAAAGCAAACACTGGTCCATTTATAATGGAATGGTAATGAATACGGAAAGTACGGGAATTTGTATGGTAGATATTTATACAGACAAGCCTATCTCGAAGGAGATGGGGTATACATGAAGGTTGGTCTCACGAATCTGGGAATTGAAACCGGTTAGCAGCTTTGCCAGGTAAATATGACGTGGATCCATGACATACCTATCAGAATTGTATATTTTGGTATCGGTTCCAAGCAACTCCTTCTCTCTTGCTTTGTCTGCGAAGTAACGTCTGGCTTGATCTCGGTCTTCCTCAGCTTGGAGGAGTGGAATGAGGTGGATTCGAGACCAAATCTTTTCTCGGGCAAGTTCACTATTATTTTTAATAAAAAATAAAACAAAAAAGTGCCTTGTTAGCACTCTTCAACCGACGGACGGAAGGGAGGCTGCAGTGGTGTTGGACGACTCACTTTCGCTCGCGGGTACCAATGAAAAGTTTATACAGGCCATACGCCATTATAGCATGCATTCCGATGAGATAGTAGACGGGGCGGAACCCTCGAACAGGTACATTGCGCTGTGCAGGCCGTTAGCCATACTGTACAACGAAGTTCAGAGGCACAAGGCCCAATGGTCAGGGATTTGGGAAATAAGGGCGTACCTTGTACTGGACCGGGCGATATCCCCCTGTAGGGGGCATATCTTGAGGCATTGTGACGGTTGAAAGAGTGTTCACGCAGATGTGTGATATCGAATGTTCGATCGAGGTTGAAGTTGACGATGTGGTAGCGGACCTGTTGGCTCACGTGATGTGATTTTTTGCCTCCACGTTATTGGTGGAAAGCAGGCCTTCAAACTTTCGAGATTGAGGATCCTCTGAGCGCTCAAAAGGACTTTTCACGTCTTTGGCATGACCAGCAATTGACAACCAGCAATTGACAGCTAGCCTAACTATTTAGTTTGTTTCTACAAAGTGTATGCCAGCTATGGAAGCAGAGGAGCGGCCAAGCAAACTACAAAAGACAGAGCACGAAGCGGGCGATCCTACTGTGGATGTTTCAATGTCAAGTGTGCAAGATCCATCAAACAATGATGATAAGCTCAAAATTGATGCAAAGTCTGAAGGGTGTACGCAAACTGCTATAGATACTGCTATAGGTACCACCGCAGATCAAACTCAGCAGCCAACGTTATCTAAAAACCAGTTGAAAAAACTTGCAAAACAACGCAGGTGGGAGGATCAAAGGGAAAGGCGAAAGGAGTATCGCAAAGAGAAGCTACAGAAGAAAAGAGAACGGAGCAAAGCCTTGAAAGCTGAACTTCAAGCCAATGGTGTGGCTTTGATACCTGGAGTGCATGTTGAGGGAATACTGCCCGATAAAAATAAAATCAGAAGAGAAGCTCGCGCCCGGGCAGTTAATGTCCCGCTTACCTTTATAATTGACTGCAATTTTGATGAACTCATGCATGATACTGAGCTCAAGTCATTGTCATCGCAAATTACGCGGTCATATTCGGATAACGCAAAGGCAGCCTACAGAGCCAGCCTAGTTATAGCATCCTTCCATGGCAAGTTGAAGGAACGGTTTGATACCGTGCTTTCCAAAAACCACGAGAACTGGATCGGTGTTAAGATTACACAGGATGATTTCGCTACAGCGGCAGAGTCTTCCCAGCGGCGGATGCATGAGATACGCCATCCAAATTTACAAGGAGCATTTGCAGAAAAGTCCGAGTCCGGGACCCTGAAGGAGGAAGGGGAGGTGGTGTATCTTACCAGTGACAGCCCAAATACCCTGACGGAACTCAAGCCGTACAGCACCTACATTATTGGAGGAATTGTCGATAAGAACAGACATAAAGGAATTTGCTATCAGCGAGCCATGGATAAAGGAATGAAAACAGCCAAGTTGCCCATTGGAGACTACATGCAAATGGCTAGTCGATTTGTGCTAGCTACCAACCATGTCATGGAAATAATGTTAAAGTGGCTTGAACTGAAAGATTGGGGGAAAGCATTCTCTCAAGTGATGCCAAAGAGGAAAGGAGGCCGGCTGAAGAGCGAAGTGTCTACCCCTGCGAGTTCTGAAGCTCGACATGACACTCATCCTGAAGGGGAAGGAATATTAGGTGCCGAATCAAGATCGGGTGCAGATGACGCACAAGGAGATGCCGGGGAAGCAGTAGAAGGAGGTTTGAGAATGGAGACAGAAGAACTGACAGGAAACGAGAGAGAGCACGGATAAGAGAATAAAATTATATGAACAGAAAGATAAAAAGAATGCAAAAGCATGCCTGGCTCTGGAAAAGTCCCAGAAGAATCCAACTTCAACTCCCCTGGCATTCACGGTGGTATTAACATGTGTATTGCGTGGCAGTTAGAATGCTCGCCCCTTATTTCAAACCTTAGGATCTACCGTCCTACTGCCACTAGTTACTGCCACTGATATTCGCTTTTTGCCACAACAATACTGCCTTTTATTTTTTATTTTTTATTATTTTTATTTATTTTATTTTATTTATTTATTTTTATTTTTTGGGTTTTTTGCGTCATTTGAGAAAGAAAGGGAAAAGAAAAAAAGCAACAAGAAGAAGATAAGAAAGATAACTTCGCGATTTAGCGAGAAACAAGAGCAGACACTGACCCCTCACGATACTCACACAGTCCCTCCAGTAATTCTTTTACAGAGTTGGCACCTCGTTCGCCTTCGCCTGGGACTTACCCGGTGAGCTGCAACCACCACAGCAACCATGTTTATGCTCAGGAACGGTAAGCAGCTAGTTTGAACTCCCTGTCCCCTTGCCCCTCGCTCAGGATTTGGCTCGCAGTCAACTGACTGACTTATTTATGGTGTATATATAGTCAGTAAGCTCATCTTTGGTGACTCTGCGAAGGAATCTATTATCGAAATACCTCAAGGGCAACTATATATCGTTCGGCCGCTCTCCCCCAAAGGTTACTCCGAACTCATCTTCAAGGACGCTGCGGCCAGCATCCGGCGGACTGGCCAAGAGTTCCAGTATCAGCTAGTGATTCAGCGGGCTTATGAAGAAGGGGAAGAAGAGCTCGCTGCCGAAGGTGATGAAAGCGGTGAGCTTGAAGCACTCGGCGGCGACAAGGATGAGAAGATCTTTCTGGTAGACGAGAGCCTTCGCCTCCGGTCTGAACTGCGGGAAGAAGGCGAGAAGGTGATTGCATGGAGAGACTTGAGCGGCGACGTCGGTGATCTCTACGAGTTCGTCTGCGATCCCTCAACGCCCCAGGAAAAAGTCGCGACATTTCTGCTTGCGGCAGTGGAGTGTCAGTACGAGCGTAAATATCGCCGGAGTGCACAGCAAGCGACAGACCAACAGCTCCAAGAGTTCGATTTTGACGAAGAAGAGAGCCCAATCCCCACAGCGAGCCCAATCACTGCTTCTCCTCATTCGACCTCTCCAACCTCCAAGGAATCTGCAGCAGCGATGGCGAAAGAGGTTGTTTCTTCTAAAGGGATTCAGCAACAGCCTGCGGAGCCAACTGTTGCACCACCGTCTGCTTCCATTCCGACGGCGAACGAGATACTAGCTAAAGAGACAGCTGAGCTTCACTTGTTCGACTTCAATACCGGGACATTTGTTCTTCAGGACCGCTTGGTAACTGCAACAGTTTCCGAAATCGGATCCTGGGAATACTGGCTACAAATCACGGGCTCTGATCGCGAGTGGCTCGGCCAACCTGTTGTTGGCGATATCAACCCAGTGTTTAACTTCGAGTATCTCTCATTCATCTTCAATCATTATACAGAAGATGGCTCTGCTTATTCTTGGCTTCTACGATTCAAGGACCAGCCCTCAGAGGAACGGTTCCAGGAAGGGCTAATGCAAGCTCTGTGGGAACGCCTGAATGAAACGAAGTGGGCTAAAACAAAAGAAAATGATCGCGATTATGTACTGGAAGCATTTAATGACCTTACGATGGAAGATAAAAGAGAGGAAGATCTTAAAGAGCTCGAGGAAGAGGAAGAGACCGAAGAGAGAGAATTAGCAGAGGAAGAGGAAGAAGATGATGGACAGAGGAGCGAGCATTATGACACAGATGAAGACGAAGATAATGTTGTAACTCGAGACGAGGATGGAAATGTCAACTCTCAACTTGCTGTTGGATACAAACACGATAGGTCTTTTGTCGTGAGAGGATCGAAGATTGGTGTCTTCAGACATACCCCTAATAACAATCTCGAGTTTTCAACCAATATTTCAAAGGTTGAAACACCAGATGGCAAGCTATTCAGCCCTAAAAAGGTTATGCTCCATGCAGAGGACGCGAACATGATTCTCCAGAATGAACAAAATCCAAATTCTCTATATCGTATGGATTTGGAGTATGGTAAAGTTGTCGACGAGTGGAAAGTACACGATGATATTCCTGTGTTGTCCTTCACCCCTGAAACGGTAAGTCAAACAGCAAATGCCAAAACTTCTATACTTTCTGATTTATTAACAATGAAAATAGAAATTCTCTCAAATGACATCTGCACAGCCCTTTGTTGGTATATCACAAAACGCCCTTTACCGCATTGATCCTCGTCTGTCTGGCAACAAGCTTGTGGATGCAGACCTAAAGCAGTATGCTAGTAAGAACGATTTCTCTGTTGCCTCAACCACCGAAAAGGGCTACCTTGCTGTTGCTTCGAATAAAGGAGATATCCGCATGTTTGACAGACTGGGTGTCAATGCCAAAACTCATATTCCAGCGCTCGGAG